CCGTGCCTGGCTAGAAGTAACTATCATTCTTTACTTCTTTTTCTTTTTAAACTTTCATTTTCGGTTCAGGTCTACCTGTGCAGGTTGTTTATATAGGTAAACTTATATCATAGGGTTTTGTTGTACAGATTATTTGTCACCCAGGTACTAAGCCAAGTAACCAATAGTTTTTTTCTGATCCTCTCCCTCCTGCCCCTCACTACCCTCAAGTAGGGTCCAGTATAGAAAACAATGGTTAGATAAATACATCATTTTATTTACCATTCTAGAATTTTGAAAAATATTTTAAGGTTTTATATGGAATCATTTATATATGTATGTATGAATGCATGAGTGAATGAATGACAGGGTCTTGCTTTGTCACCCAGGCTAGAGTGCAGTGGCGTAGTCACAGCTCACTGCAGCCTCCACCTCCTGGGCTCAAGCAATCCTCCCACCTTAGCCTCCCAAGTAGCTGGGACTATAGGCGCATGCCACTATGCCCAGTTAATTTTTTACTTTTTGTAGAGACAGGGTCTTGCTATGTTGCCCAGGTTGGTCTTGAACCCCTGAGCTCAAATGATTCTCCCACTACAGCCTTCCAAAGTGCTGGGATTACAGGTGTGAGCCACTGCTCCCAACCTGAAATCTTTTTTTACGTTCAACGTTATGAGGAGTGTTATTTGTGGGAAGAAATCAGGGGAGGTAAAACAGTTTCTCTTTCTTATTCAGATGAATCCATTTTTATGGTATTAAACTCTGGTTGTGACGAGGGAGAGAACATGAAGTTAAATATAGTCATGTCTCTGCAAACTAAATAGAATAGGACAAGGGATTTTCTTTGTTTTTATTAGGTAATATTTACTGTGACTCCACAACCAGTGGCTTCCAGACCTTGATGGGCAAATCAGTTAGATGTTTTGCTAAAGCGGGTCAACTAGTCCGTGAACTTGCTGTTGCTGAAACCAAGCCAGCAATGGGAGCAGGCTGCAGAAAGAACAGTTTTAAGGGATGCCGATCTATTTTGTATGATTAGGAGAGAGGCCATAAATCTGTTGGCTTTGCCCTTCACCCTCAGATGTCCCTGACTGGGCAGTGTATGCAGAACGCCCCCGTGGCATTTCTTCACAATTTTGATGTTAAATGCGTTACTGATTTGGAAGTATACCAAGAACGAGATGGTATTATCAATGCGAAGATAAAGAATGTTGCCTTAGGAGGTATGTTACATTTCTTTGAGAAAAGAACGCAGACCCAAACATGAAGATAAAGTGCGATCTCATGAGAGTATAAATCATTTCTACTGGTTCAACTTCAAATAATATTTTAACTGCCAATTATTTTCTTTGGAAAAAGTTTAGTTCCATAAGACAGCATATTGCATATTAATTATTTTGAAATTGAAGTACAATTCAAATAACATAAAATTAACCTTTTTGTTTGTTTTGAAACGGAGTCTCGCTCCATTGCGCAGGTTGGAGTGCAGTGGCGCGATCTCAGCTCACTGCACCCTCCGCCTCCTAAGTTCAAGCGATTCTCCTGCCTCAGCTTCCCAAGTAGCAGGGTCTACAGGTGTACGCCACCACGCCCAGCTAATTTTTTTGTTTTTAATAGAGATGGGGTTTCACCATGTTGGCTAGGCTGGCCTTGAACTCCTGACCTCAGGTGATCCGCCCGCCTCGGCCTCCCAAAGTGCTGAGATTACAGGTGTGAGCATCTGCGTTCTGCCAAAATTAACCATTTTAAAGTGTACAATTCATTGACGTTAGTACCTTCTACACTGTTGTGCCACCATCACCTCTCTCTAGTTCCAGAACATTTCATCCCCTCAGAAGGGCATCTGTCCCCATTCGCAGTCACTCCCTACCCCTCGTCCCTCAGCCCCTGGCAGCCACCAGTCACTCCCTACCCCTCTTCCCTCAGCCTCTGGCAGCCACCAGTCACTCCCTACCCCTCTTCCCTCAGCCC